GCTTTTTAATAATGTTTCCCAGTGGCAGCATGTAGAGAGTAAAAAGAATCGGTCCGAGTACCGAACCCTGCGGCACACCGAATTCCACTCCAGAATAAGGCGACGAGTCCTGATTCACATTGACGAAGTGATATCGATCTGATAAATAGGATTTAAACCAGCCAAGGGCTGTTCCTCTAAGACCTATATCACATTCTAGCCTCTGCAGTAGAATGCTGTGGTCTATTGTGTCAAATGCAGCACTAAGGTCCAGTAGGACCAGCACTGACACTTGTCCATTATCGGCAGCTAGTAGTAAGTCATTTGTGACTTTGACTAGTGCCGTTTCAGTGCTATGATGAGCTCTGAATCCTGATTGAAAGACTTCAAACATATCATTTTCCTGCAGGTGGCAGCGGAGCTGCTCAGCTATAAGTTTTTCCAGGATTTTAGATATAAAAGTGAGGTTCGAGATCGGTCGGAAGTATTTCTGGGTCCAGGTTTGTTTTCTTCAGAAGGGGTTTGATTACCGCGGTTTTAAAAGCTTGTGGGACATAGCCACATTGTATGGATGCGTTTATTATATTTACGATAGGCTCAATTATCAAAGGAAGTATGTCTTTGAAGAGCCATGTCGGGACTGCGTCTAACATGCAAGTTGAGGCTTTTGAGGATGTGACCACAGAGATAACAAGTACGTGAATGATAACAGGTTTTCTAATAAAATGAATTCTTCCTATTGGGATATTCTGCATGTGATAGCCGGATTCTGTCAGACCCCTGAAGCTGTGCGGCGCAGGATCTGGTTAGTACTGTGATGGGAGACCTCCAGGTGCCACAGTGGGGCGGTTGCAGCTGTAAAGTGCCAAACTGTTGTTGTGTCCTTAGGCGAGTCTTAGAGTGAGTCTGGTGTGTGTGTTCGTGAAAGGTTGGGGGTGGTCAGAAGGGCCGATGGTACAAACTGGTTGCCTCACTTCTGTCAGTGTGCCCCAGGGCAGCTGTGGCTGGTAGTGTATCACCATCGTGAATGGAGAGAAAGAAAATGACTTATAAAGCATATTTGAGTGTCTAAAAAAGCCAGCTCCCCCAGCTTTAATATCACAGCTCCTGCCAACACTATATGGACTTTCTGTTCAATCAATCATCCTTTACCAATGCATTTCTGGGATCGCACATTATAGAAATATGAGACCGTGTAATGCACGGTTTTTGTCACATCCCACTCTCCATGTTCTGATGGGCTCAGAGGTGCAGCTCCGTCAGTCTCTTTCATTTGAAACAAGTCCAACTTTGAAAAATTGGCAGCCCGCACAACATCTGGCATCTATCCCACAGTCAACACACAAACATGGCTTAACTCCAATCCAATATATACTGTATGATTCAGCTACAAGTGGAATCTAATCCTTTTACTGGCAATATTTTCACACATATTATCCAGCTAGAGATTTAATTTTTGTCATAATTCAGACATGAGAGCAGAGGCCAGTGCACAAAGACACCATGGACTATTCATTGTTCTTGAAGTGAATGCAAAACCTGTACCATCTTTAATAAATAGTGACTTGGTTTATATGTGCAAAAGATTTCAAACCTCCTAAAGCTGAGGTCCACAATTTTCAGCCCGCGACAAATGGAACCATATAATAACATCTATCTGAACAGTTGAAAGAAAAAGGGTTTGGATAATATTGTTTTTGCATGTACGTATGTTTGACCCCTGTCTTTAAATCTGCATTTCAGACAGAAAAATGAAACAGAGAGGAGCATTTTTCCTGAGCCAATCAGCTCTCAACCCAAATGGTCAAATAGTGACTCACAGGGCTATTTCATGCAGCATATGTAACATGTTTATAATACGTACAGTACTGTATATGGGCACGTATATAGTACGTGCCTATATACGTACTATATACTATATAATACGTATATAGTTGATTTGTTCACAACATTTTACTTTTAGAAGACTCTTTCTAATGGGATAAACACAATGCATTATAATATGGATAAATAAAGTTCGGTACCCCAGCTTTAACACTGGAGCAGTCAGTGTGTGTAATAACTCGGATCACGTACCTCTGTGTCATTATATAGTCTTCTTGTATGTAACTATCTTTATGAAATTATCTTTTTTTGAATAATAATAAGGTGGTTCTACCTTTAATTACCAGAGCTGTCATTTGAGTTAATGAGCTGGAGATAGTTTTTTTTCACCAGAGATGAGCAAGTGCTAGTTACCATAGCACCAGTGCATACTTGACGGCAGTTGGCAAATGATAGCCTTTCAACAATCTATTTCAAGTTATATCCACCAGTTTTAGCACTTAATAAAGAAAAAGACATATATAAATTGGTTCATATGAATAAAAGTAGTGAAACACTAGAACTGTTTGTTGGGATTTTTTCAGAATTTCATAGATTGGAATGGGAGCCGTCAAAATGGCTGCTCCGGGAGTTCTAGAGGTTTCAGAATTCTGGGAGTCCTGGTGTTGATACAATGAAACGGGACGATTTTCTCAAAAGACATTGTGAAACGTTGAGACTATCTGTATAATCAAACCATTATATTTTCTCATGTCCTTTGTTTCAGGAAAAAGGCTTAACTTTCCAGCGTTGAAGTTAAATGTTAAATATTACAGTCCAAAGCAAATTATCTATAATTTCATGTTCAATTCCAGCCACACCTCAGTTTTAAAGTAAGGGCCCATAAGTCACTGTCAGAAACCTGGACCCAAAAAGGCCTTCTTCTTTTATAGACGTTTAATAAGAGGCACTTACGGCCGGAGTGAACACAATTAGATGGTCGCTGACAACCACTGGAGGCGAATTAATCTCTCAAATAAAATTGGTGGCGGCGCTCAATATGTCACGCAGTGGGAGGCGGCTTCATTCCTATTCATCTTGCGTCTGGGAGTTAAAGCTCATTTCCTGATCTGGTGGCTCCTCTCTGCAGGGCACGAGATTTTAATCCTGGAAAGTCCACACCAATAAAAAAATAAATGAAAACTTCACACAATCAGAAAATCCCACTGACAGATTACATTTGAATATATGCTGGATTTTGCGTCATTTTGAGAGTGAAATACATTTTGTGAATGTGTTTGATACATACTAGGAACGACAAATGTACATCTTGGTCTAATGAAGTACAGGGAAATAACAATAATTGCCTTTTCATTATAAACAGCAGAAAGATTTTACCTTTATTTATTTATTGTAAGCTTTTTGGCCAATGGCAGAGCTGCACTGCATAGCCTCAGTCCCCGTTCTACAGCCTGTCTGTCCGTGGGTTCGGATGTTTCTCTGAACAGTGGTCTCCCTCAAGTCTCTCACTTTTTTCCCACTGTTTTTCTTTTTTTTTGTTCTTTTCAGACGCAGGAGGGTTTAAGGACAATGATGATTTGTGACATTTATGAACAGTTGTCATCCCGCTCCCTCTGGACCAATGACCAATGGCTTTTATGTGTTTGTTATTATTGCTTTTCATGTATTTTCGAGTTCTGATTTGTCGTTTGGCAAATCGATAAATCTATAAAGTTCTACAAGACGACTGCTGTTGAATTTTAGAGCTTCACAAAATTACATTGAATTGGATGACCATAGGTGAGGGTGGGAACGTAGATTTACCGGTAAACCAAGTGTTCTGTCAGGCTGAGGCTCCCTCCTTCCCTCGCTCGGGTGCAAGAGATATTTGAACCAACCAGAGAGGGCAAGAGAACATTTTCCGGTCTAGCTCCATTATTTTTTACAATATACGCATTTCCTGGTGATCAGTGTGTAAGGAAAGATCAAAATTATCATGTTTTTGCGCGGTGGGAATGCTGCTTTACAGTGTTAACATTGGACAGTGTCTCTGTAAGTGTTTCATGAATACCAAGAAAATGTTCATCTCTACAAGTAGCTGCAGAATAAAATACCACGCTTAGTTTGGAGTTTTCATGAAAATTTCAGTTTTATACAAAAATTAAATACACTTACACTATGGTACAACTATTTTTTCTTCCATTCAGGTGTGCGTAGGCATGACGACAAAGCCTCTGGGAACAAAAGCAACTTTCAATGTGTCTCAAATCACCCAAATTTTTTCAATATAGTACATTCTTTACATTCGTGTTCGAACGTTGAAACCAGTCACATCCGCTTGCAAAAGTCCAACCTGAAAGCTAGAAAAAATGTATAGATTTATTACATGATTTTACATCTGCCTTGTGTGTGTTTTTATAACATTTATCAGTATATCTTTGAATATATAACTCATACGTCTGTCTCTCTTTACATTTATTGCACCATTGTTCAGAAGTTTCCTCAGGACTTTCTTGAAACCTTTCGCAGTTGTGATTTGAAAATGTACAAATGATGAAGTCCAAAACTTTTCGTCCTTGAAAATCAGCAAGAACGGCATTACGGCACTACATTCACAAGCATACAGACCTTGAAATATCATTGGAACAAATTACACAGTTTTACACGCTCACGCAAGCCTCAAGACTTACCAAAAGCAACAGGCCCTTTACAAAAAAAAAAATAGACACAATTTATCAACATTGTGAAATTGCAGCAGAGATGCCATTTGCAACCCTCTTTTCCTCGCATTTTTGCAACACCTTGTGATTTGAGACACACTTTTAGCTCAGGGCTAATAAGACATGTGCAGCATTTGGCAAAAAAAACCAACAGAAATTCACCGGAGTCACCAAAGCACAGGAAGGAGCAGAAGAAGGAAACAAGGAGACAAGAGAAGGAGGCAAGGAGGCAAAGAGTGAGGCGAGATGTTTAGGACACGTCCCGTCCGTGAGACTCTTTTAACAATTCTCCATGATAAGTCTTTTGCTTTTTGTGCAGTCCAACCAATATCACAATTTCACAAATATCACCAATCCATATATGGTCATCACTCGTTGACCATTTCCTGCTGGCGAAAGTAGTCACTCGTATGTTTCTCTAAGTCTTTAAGGTATTTTGGAGAGGTCCAGTCTTGAAACGTGTACATTTTGGTTACGCAACAGTCTTCCGGGCGGCTCTCAGCAAAGGAAAGCGATCGCTAGCAGCGGCGCTAAGAGGATGGGGGCGAGGCGTGGTGCATGATGGGTAAAGGCGCGTCCGGAGAGCTTGTCGTCGCATTCTCCTGGGCCTTGGCATCGGGAGCGCTCGCACAGAATGCCGGTGAAGCCTGGAGAGCAGAGGCAGCGCTGGTGGTGGTGACACGTACCTCCGTTCTGACAGCGGAGCATGGCGTTGTCACAAACTCGAGCTGTGGGGAAGAAGTGGACAGCGTTGATTGGTAGGATGAAATATAGAGAGAGAAAAAACAAGAGAGATCAAACAGAATACAGGGAGTTACAATGTTGTTTAAGAGAGAGTCAGAGGGACCAGAGGGAGATCAGAAAGAGACCAGAGAGACACCACAGATAGAGACTAGAGAGTCCAGAAATAGACCAAAACGAGACCAGAGAGACACCAGAAAGACACAAGAGATAGAGACTGGAGAGGGACCAGAAATAGACCAAAACGAAACCAGAGAGAGATCAAAAAGAAACGAGAGAGACACCAAAGACACACCAGAGCGAAACAAGAGATAGAGACTGGAGAGAGACCAGAAAAAAAACAGAAATAGATCATAATGATACCAGAGAGAGAACAGAGACGGATCCAAAATACACCAAAGATAGAGACTGGAGAGAGACCAGACAGAGACCAGACGGAGAATAGAGAGAGACCAGAAAGAGCCTAGAAAGAGATCAGAACAATACCAGAGAGAGACTAGACAGAGACCAGAGAGAGAACAGAGACGGATCAGACAGACACCAGACAGAAACCAGAGAGAGAACAGAGAAGGATCAGAAAGACACCAAAGAATAGAAAGCAAAGAGAGTGATGGAGAAAAAGCAGAGAGAGACCAGATATAGTTCATTCCAGTTAGGTCACATACTGTAAGACTGTTTCAAAACTATGCACTGTTTCGTCACACTGATGGATTAAAGGATAATTTTAGCAACACCAACGGCTAAACTAAACCACTAAAGTTAAACAGGAAAGGAAATATGTCATGGCAGAGATGAGGATGAGTGATTTTTGTCATGCAGCTAATGCCAGAGGGTTTACTGTACTCTATTTCAGGTATTGTTCTAAATGAAAAAGTGGTAAATGTAACTTTAGCTGCGTCCCAAAGGATAAGTCTGTTCCAAGTCTAGAAAACACACTCATTGCCACGCTCTCATTGACCTGCTAACTCATGCATACCAATTTAAGTTAGCAGTTCCACAGAGAACCTAAATATTACATGTGTGTTTGTTTACTATGAATTTCGTGTTTATAATACTTTTACTTTTTATAATAATAATATTTTATAATACTATTGTTTTACTCCTGCTAGAACTTGGGAGTGAAATTTTTTTTCCGATCTCACCAATATTTTAACATTGCCATGGTTACATACACTATGCAAAAAGAGATAGATCAGAGTAATAGTTAAAAGTTATAGCATTGCAGTTAAATAGATAGATGATAATAAATAATGCTAATAAAAACTTGAATTGAAAAAATGAATGGTGCAAAATCGTTTTCAAGATCAAGATTTGTCTAATTAATCCCTGGATCTATATAAATGTTTGCTGATTTGATCTGAATTCCAATTGGATTTAACTCAACATTCATCTTCAGCCTTGACACTAGTTTGCGATGATACAATCCGTGCCCATTTCAATTGTTCAATATCTCTCTGTACAGCGCCTTTTGCTCCTGCACGGCCTCCTCCTTCCTTCATCTTTTTGTTTTTCCAACAAAAACTCAAAACTCAATCATTTCAAAAAGCCGCGCTGTGGGCAGAGGTGAAATCCGGGAAAAGGGAATATTTGTCCAGAGATTTTCATTGTAATTGGAAATCTGTGCTTGCATAAATAGTGATCGCAGCAACGTACAGACAACTCCCCAAACAGTGACTGCAGCTGCCGAAAGGAAGAGAATGCCATATTGTTTTCTTGTTGAGTTTTGAAGTCATGCATTAAGACAAGTTTGTTGGTTCTATAAAATGCATCAACCATGTTCTCTTGGACACGAGGATGACATGTATGCAGTTAGCAGTTTCCAAGCCATTCCATTCAAATCAATGTATTCTTGTATAGCCCTAAATCACAACAGTAGTTACGGTATCTCGGAGGACTTAACAAAACCTTTTTGCCAACACAGATCAGAGAATCAAACAGTTGAAACACAAGAAATGCAAGCCATAATTAAGCCATGACTGTAGTTGGCTGCAAAAGTAACAATAACGTTTGCACATTGTGTCATGTTATAACCACAAATATGAATATTATTTCTTAGGATTTAATGAGACAAAATTTTCAGTGTCTAGATGCACTTTTGATTGCAGCTAAAGGAGGTTAAATTCAGTTAAGTTAAATATATTGTATTCAAGCAGGATTTCCAATGTCCATAAATGTTAATAAATGTCTCTCCTCCGGCATCAGCAAAGAACAACTCAAAAACCTAATGGGAATAAAGTGAGAAACCCTGAGGAGGCCCGCAATGGAATCCAGTCCCACAGACTGACAGGGTTCCACAAATATTTGTTTGTGGTCGTACGTTTAACATGAGAAACTACTACTGTACAAGCACTTTCAATCCATACCAACATTTGAGGAAAACCGCTGGAAGATGTTTGCAGTGCTCACGATTCCAAGCCATATACAGTGCATTGCAAAAGTGACAATCAAACTTGAACTTGTTTAATATCACATACCTATATATATTTTGTCTTCCTGAAAGACCACAACAAAAGTAACTGTTCACAAATGCTTTTTTATCTAATCGGACATATCTTGAAAATCTACATGCTCTAAAAGACAACAAAGAGAAAAGTTAAGGGTAAAGTGCCTAAGGATGAGTCTTTAGGAAACTCTTGTGCTTAGGGTCGGAGCAATTTTTATAACATTAGGGACAGCAATCAATTTACAAGAAGCATAAAGGGGGCCGCTTCTCCCACCTTCAAACCTTTCACAAAGAATGGAAAGACGGTCGAGGTCTGAGGATCTGAAACAGGTTCTTATGAAGGTGCCAGACTGAGGAGGACTCTCTGAAAAGCATAATAATTATCTAAAGTCAAACGGGGCCTGAACTTGGAGCCTATGAACAGGTGTAATATGAGATCTTTTTTTTGTCGGTAAGAAAGCTGAGTTGTGAATGAGTTACAGACTTTGGATTGATCTATGGAAGTCCTGAGAAGAAGCCATTACAATTATCAATGCTACACAGATGTCACAAATGAATGCACTAGTATTTCAGCATTTTTATATGAGTTAAATGTTTATTTCAATGGAAGAAGGACAATTTCACGTAATTTATGTGTTCTCAAACTTTTTTCAAATGCAAACGCCAGATAGATGGTTATTCCAAGGGGAGAGACTGTTTTAAATTGATTTAACATGAAACGTCATAGGTATATGGTCAAAATATGTATTCCTAAAAAAATCCAATTCAACTGAAGTTGCACCTTTAAGATATAGTTTTGAGGTCCTTGGGCTCAAAACAGGAACAAAGACAGGAACAAGATGGAACTATTTTTCAGGTTTTTTTCTGAAGGTCTGATTATGAGTTGGAGTGCTCTTTCATTCCCTGTAATACAGAATGACATTGAAATGTCCCCACTGTGGGACAAATACATGTTCTCCGAGCTATACGTGCAGCCTCCTGTCTGGTGGCTGAGTGGTTAACACTCTCGCTCCTTGGCTCTGGGTGGGTACGATAAAGTACAACTACATGTATCTCTCTTTATCAATAAATCAGATTTACATCTGTCTTATCAAACTATTTTCTGGGTTGGCCTTAACGTTCACAGGGCATCTGGTGACAGGCTTTTGTAAATTGGTAGACAGACAGGCAAACAGACAGACAGACAGACAGACACACAGACAGACGAGGAACTTTCCAGATCCTATCTGTAATGTAAATGCTTCTTCTTAGAACTACCACAGTCACAAAAGCACAAGAATTTGAATCCACGCTGATCTTTCTAACAACTCGTCCACAGCTAAGATCTTTAGTTAAAAGCACTTGACACCAATTGGCACCAAGCCGCTTCTTTTGGCCTCACTCAGAACTTTCCCTTATCAAGGCATGTTTCTGATACTCAACATGAAACACAGCCGGTCTTCTCCCCAGTCTGTGAAGTCTGTAATAACACAAGTCAGTTTCGATCACGCTCTAAACCCAATGGCAGGGTGGCCTTGACCCATTCAGACCTAATCACAGCCTCAGCACCACTTCACTGTCTGCACTTCCATTTTACTGAGACCTGTCATTACTCCATCCCCTACAAGTGCATCTCCTGGAGCCAATCACTGCTTTCATGCTTTATTGGGTCAGGAGAGAAAGGACCATCTAAACCAGTGGTTCTCAACTGGAGCCATATGAAACTTTTCAGAAAGAGGGTCACTTTAGTTCAGCAGCAGGAGTAATAATCTATTGTGATATATACTTTAAGCACAAGGACCATCAGGATGTCTGGCTAAAAGACAGAAGAACAGCTGAGTCCTGGTCCTGTGTGAGACTTGAGAGGGTTCAGACTTCTTCCTCTGTCTGGACTTTGCATTAGCAGTGTTTCCGTTTGGTCCGAGGATAATCCACGTCCTTCAGGGCACTCTCTGGAACACTGTCGGCCTGAACCACTAAAAGCATTTAGCGCTCAATTAGCCGTTTACCCAAGCTCTGGCTATAGACGTGTCCTCCAGGGGGCAGCAGCACTGACTCCACTTCTCAAACACTTAAGCTCACCGCACACCGAAACGCAGCGCCTCGCGGCGCGTCATTTGACGCGCGTTCATGACATGTGTCAAATTACACCGGAACGCCTTGGCTAGCGTCCTTTTCCAGCTGATCGCAGATGAAATGGGTGAGTGACGTTTGGAAGTTTCTACTAATATTTTGGGGGAGGAAACAAAGTATTTACGTGAAATTATGCTGGCAAATATTACAAGAAAAGACTATTTGGACCCATTTTTTAAACAGGCTAATAACTAGCTCTGGGTAACGCTGTACTTGGGTTATCAAGCTTTCCTCGTCCATTGTGACCGGTTTACTTGAGCAATAGCGCCGACAAGTGTGTACATTTGAGACCGCGCTCACAGCTACGTGATAAGAAGCGCAGAAGAAGAAAACTACGGGTGCTTGGAGGGACAGTTTCAGCCGCGGCGCCGCGTCTGGATTCAACAAAACTGAATCGTGGCGCCCGGTCCAGCGTCGCCGCGCGTCACTGCA